GGGGGGTCCACCTAACATATGACCATCGTGGGGTTCCAATTTTTGGGGGCGTTGGGTTTTCATGATCCCAGGAAGAGCTTCGAGATGGCTTAGGGTTGGAAGTTAAAGGCTTGAGTGCATGGTGGAAGGCATGACTTTATGGTCAACACCTTGGAGTTTTGGAGTTTTGGGCTTGAGGCTTCTGGGTTCAGGGTTGGGACAACTTCGTGGACAAAATTAGTGAATCGAAAGCCTAGAGAGGGTTATGCTACAGCCTGGCGTCTCACTCTGGGTGTATGAGCAACCCTTCATAGCACTTTCTCATGTCATTCCAAAGTTTTTAAGGGAGGGTGTTCAAGGGCAGTCGGATGGCTCTCCTGTCATGGCTTAATGGCCTATGCTGAAGAGTCTTTTTCGCAGATGAAATGAGGTAATCAGTTCGCCCTCAGATCAGAACCAGGGACAGATTACTGCGAGACTGGAGTCCTGGTTGCTAAAGAAGATGGCTTTGCGATTGCGGGTTATGGCGCAGGAATGCGACGATGACTCCATGCCTTTAGCCAAAAATCGATGTAAGTCCGCCCAAAGCCTTACGCCCGAACCCGTAGCACAACAGTCTAGGCCCAAAGCTACGCCCCACAGATGACGTAGTAAGTTCCATTTACCTCCATGCCCCGAATCGGTGGGTTCCGTTTTAGGGAAGGTCATCAATCTGATGCAAAGGTTTCTACCCCACGCTGAGCTGTGCGCAGCAGCCGTGCTGTCTCGTGGATGGTTGGGTGACTGGGCTGAATGAGCTGGGTTCAAAAAAGGGAAAATGGGTTAAGGGTTGAGGGGTTTAGTATTTTATTTGGGGGCACTATGCCCCCGAATGCTATTACTCAATAATGGAGACTCAAATGGAAATGCGGTCAATAGCTTTCGGTTAGCAGGGAGTGAAGGAATCGAACAGCAAGAGGAAATGGATAGGAGAATGTCAGGGTGATGTCTTCTTTTCAGCTTGCAGAAGGAAGGATTTAGGGGTGAGGTGCGCAGGGCTTCGGGTCGGGGTCCAGGGCATTTCGGGGTTAGAATTTTGGGCTCTGGGTGTCGGACCAGGTTTGGGTGAAGGTTTTGTGCCATGGGTGTACGGTGTGATGACAGCAACCGCTTCACCCTGATGTCTGCAAAGAGAACTCAAGCTTGACTGCACATCGGGTATTGAAGACTCTTCCAATGTTCTCGCCTTTATCAATATTGCGCAGGCGGGGCCTGCGCCCCATTCAACCCCGCAGCTCTTTATGAACAGTAAGCCATTGTTTTGCATATCCTTTCATAATCTAACATCTCATGCCCTTGTCCTGGCTCATGTTTTGAAAGTAAGGTTGTGGGGCACCCCAACCCTTCGGCTGGCTTCAATGGGTGGCCAGACTTAGAGCAGTTTTACAAAAGCTCCCAAAGCTGTCCTCTGTAGTACTTGCAGCCTTTGACGGGGTTAGTCTTTAGCAATAGAGCTACAACCGACACTTCAAGTCAGCTGACTGACAGCCCCCGGGACCCAGCACCACCCCAGCTTTGTGGTACACCCAAGCCCCTGAACCTTCAGAGCTTCATACCGGCAAGGTTCATGACGCCGAAAGCCACTCCACTGCGTATGTAAACTACGGGTCCATGACCGTGTACATCCTGTTCACGGTTCCGCGGCTGTTCTTATATTTCTTATGAAGAGGAAGATAGGAAGACAGGGTTTTAAGGTTCAGGGGAAGGCTTTTTGAGTTTCTTTTCTAGAGGGGGTCTGCGAAGGCGACGTTGCCCCGGGCTATTACAGAGGACCTATTGATTAGAGTCCTGGTCAGGGCAGAATAATGATGTTGTCTGACTTGCAGACCCCGTCCTGCAGACCTATATTATTATTTTTTACTATTGCTATTGTTACCATAATTATTGTTATTGCTGTTCTTCTCTTAATATCACCTAGCCTTTATTGCTTCGGAGCTCTGAAGAAGTTGAGCTGTGAGCGCCTTACTTTATTTGCCGATCCGCAGGTTCAATTTGTCTCAAGGCCTCCTGAGCTTCAGCAATTCTAGGCTGCAAGCCATAGCTGCAAGTGGCTGGTGCAGTATGCCGCGCAGACGTATTCCGTACAGACCCATGCCGCAATGGGGTACGCCTAAGCTGCCCTTTGGAGAACGAAAGTCTGTGCAAGTTCTCCCGAAGAAGGTCGACCAAGAGAGTGGTTGCAAGAACTTTGGACAAGGTAGTGAGGAGATCTGCATCGAAGTTTTGCTGATGTCAGGCCATAGCATGCCGTTGACAATCAGACAAGATGACGAGGTCCTGGGCATCAAGCGAAAAGCCTGCCAAGAGTTAGGCTTCCTGCAGGGGCCACGGTTTGTAAAGCTGGTTTACAACGGGCAAGTTCTCGATGCCGCCAGGGCGATCAGAAAATGTGGCATTGGAAAGGGCGCCTCAATTTTGCTTGTCCAGACCTGTGAGACTCCAGGCACATGAAGCCAGGCAGAAGTGTACGCTCTTCTCACCTCGCACACCGCCGAGTGATGGGCCAATCCTTGCCCTGCGTCATAACTCCAAATCGTGCAGGGAACATGGAGTGAAGTTCTTACTGAGGTTGCAATGTAGTGACGCGATGCGGGTTGGCTGCGTGTGTGCAAAAACAGGTCCCTTCGTTGTGGATTGAATCACTGCAACCACCAGCACTAACGACCAGGCACAGTCTGTTTCGCAGTAGCGGGGGCTGGTATTGATGACAACGTGACTGTGCTGAGCTTTGAGCCGGAATGCTCAGTGCATAGCTCTTGGTCCTGACACCTCAGACCTTTGAGCCTCATAGCCCTTAACTTGGGCAACCATGTTGAGGAGGTACATTTTCATGAGTACCCCCCAGCCCCTGACGTTGGAATATTCCAATACGTTCCAATTTCTCCAGATGGTAGTGTAACCTACGAAAAATTGAAAGTCCCCAATCAGGAGCCAATAGCCCGAGTCGCAGGTTTGGCTCCAGCGGTGGCTGAAGAAGAATGAGGAACGATGGGTCCAACCTCTGAACTAGCCTTCGTAGGCCTAGGATAAGCTTGCGTAAGGAGGAACCTAGAAGGGGTTGTACAGGGGGCATGAAAGTCGGGACTTAAAAGTTGAGCTGCAGCTTTTGTTCGGGAAAATTCCAACAATCAGTGGATGGCACTTGCGCTGTTGTTTGAAGAGCGTGCCCTTGAGTTCTTTTCCCGGGTACAGAGAGGGCATGGGCATTCAGAAGTGGCCAAGCGCGGCTGAGGGTTTCAGGTTTGACTGTTCAGTTTGGGTTGAGGGCTTTGGCCCGCAATGAGCCAACAAGCACTACCCTCGGCATCCTGATGTCATGATCCCCCAACTCCTTCACATCTGATTCTACGCAGGGGAGATCCTGAAAAGTAGCATTCATTTTGTCTTGTATGCTCTCGATTGAGCGCAAATTCTTTACTTGTTCCTCTCAGTTATGAACACACACGTGAGAGCACATCCCCTGTCCCGCCGTGTACCCCTGCAACAGAAAAAGCCCTGATCCTCTCGGAGGCAGATGCCGAGTCTCAGGCCATCCCAATTCCTGACGCGCCCAGCGGTGTCCCGGAGCATCTGAACTTGCTGGGCGTCTACCTGGGCGTGCCCCCTGCCCAGCAGTCTTGAAGGTTCTCAGCACTTTTCTAGTTTAGGCTTCAGGGCGCATGTTTTGAGGCTTCCAAGTTCCGGCAGTTTGCCGGGACATGTGGCGCACAAGCCAGCACGTGCGCATGACCGGGAATTGGCCAGTCCTGACTGCCTTTGGGCAGTTGGAGGGAGGTGGAGGTCTGAAAAGGAGGCGTTAATAGTTCCATCTTCAAAAAATGAATGTGGGTATGGTTTTGCTAGACCCGAAATTATGCTTGAACTCAAGCATGCCATACCCAACATGCCACAAAACTGCATAAAACAATTTTGCAGGATCCATGTTTTACCTCTTGACTACTTGAGGATCGCGACAGTCATTGTTGGCATTGCTATGGCGGAGAGCACACAGCTAGCGCTTCCGGTCCCGGAAAGGCGCCCGGACAAGTTACTCTGGGTGTTAAAGAGTCAGTAGGTGAGCAAATGCCTGTTTGATAAGGGGATTATGCAGAAAAAAAGCAATGTTGCTGCCCCACCGCCGTTTTTGTACCAGTGAGGTTGCGAAGTAGCGAAGTAGCTGGGTGTGGGCCAGGTCTTGGAGAGCTTGTGGAAGCATGTGGCCCTCTTTGCAGCGAAGTACCCCAAACCCGACAGCCGATTGAGAACTCGTTCTTAGCATGTTGACGAGGGCTCGGTGTCATTACAGGTACATTCTTAGATTCTGCGGTGTTGGTTTCACTAGGGTTCCGCAAGCATCAATACTTCAGACGCACACGCAAGCACCCGCACGAGCACACACATATGCATATGCATATTTGATGCATATTCTCATGCATATACACGTGGGCATGCTTACGGCAGGTCATTACCTGAGAAAACAAAGTGCTTGAACGACAGGAATTCCATGCTGGCTGCCACAGCCTTTCTGACCCCGGTAAAGGACATCTTCCAGCTCTTAGGCAGACACGAGACTCGAAAGGTTTGGGATGCTGGCGGCTCTTTTCTTATTTTGTGAGCTGTAATGAAGGTGTGGGGATGCGGGAGTTCATTTGTCCTTTGAGATTTAGGTCAAGATGTTTTTGTTCAGGTCCTTTTCCCGCGGGTTCAGCTTTGGCGTTCATTGTTTTTTTCTCGGACTTTCGATTTGGAGGGGGATTTTGCACGGTGGAGCCACATCGGGAAAGTGATGGAACTGCCTTCCTCAGCAGTCGCGATAATCTAGTCCTGAGTGTTTAGTCAAAAAGGTTTACTTTAAGTCTGAGGAATGCATTCTGTGGGACTTACGAGAACCTCACTAGCTCCAGCAATCTTCTCCCTCTTATATCAATTAAAATGCCCCCCCCCCGCCCTAAACCCTAAACCCTAAACCCTAAACCCAAGATCTTTACCATAGGGTTTTCGTGACCAAGTCAAGGTTCTTGGAGGACACCACCACAGTGACTTGGCTGGCCTGTAGAAGACATGAAGTGCCCTAGGTTTCTTCGGGTTTCCCTATCCGCTGGTGCCCAAACCCTAAGCCGCCCCCAGATTCTAACACAATTTCCCTTCTTGAATCTTTGGGCCTCCGAAATTGACCCCAATGGAAACTACTATAGCCTAATGGGGGTATATAGGTGTTATAGAGGGGTAATAAAGGGGTGCATAAGGATAATGGAAGAGAAAACGGAAATTATTATAGTATGTAAGGGTAAATACAGGGCCTTCTATCATTCGGATCCTCTTAATTGGCGGCCAAACACATTCTCTTACTTGGGGTTAGTAGGAACTAAGCGACTCGATTATACAGGGATCATCTACGGAATATAGGGATGATGTAGGGATCATATAGGGGTTATATAGGGATTATATTCCCTTATTTCCTACTACTGACCAGCAAGTTATAGGGGGTCTCTTCAATAAAGGAGGTCCAAGCGTCTGGCCTTCTGTAGAAGGTGAAGATCACCCACGCGATGGGTGTTGGAGACATCTCGGGCGTGCGGTCTATCTTCAAGATGGGCGTGTGCCCGGTCGTGCATCTTAAGTCACTCCTGAAGCAGAGAGGCTAGGATGGAAGCCCAGAGTACGTCCTGTACCGCACTTTTTGGTGTGTCTTCCTCCTGCTTAAGAAGGGCTATTTGGCCAAGGCCCTTGGGCATAGCTGCTTACATGTCTACTCAAGTATGCCCGGCAAGGCAACGTACCCAAATTACTCTTCCGCACACCCTCGCTACATGGGATTCCATGTTATTGTGGTGCGAGGGTATTCCTGAACAATGAATCCAGAGCCTCGGGAAGCTTCAGCCCTAAACAAGTTCCCTGAAGTATAGCAGCCGGATGTGTATACAAGCGGCGCAGGGTCCCCCAAAAGAGGGTATAGCGCGCACACTATCCATGTTGCCATGTGAGGGCGTTTCGCAGAATCATGGGTCCTCCTCCTCTCCAGGGTGTGGGATTCCATAGCAAGGGTTCCGGGACTCTACTACACGGGATTTAGCTTTTTAGGCATCCCCAAAACTCGAATTCTCCCAAAAAGCTTTACATGGTATAGTCACCCTTAAGTAGATAAGATATGGTGTATATGGAGGTTTTACGCTAACATACCCAAAGCCATATTCCATCTACTTAAGGGGGACTATGAAACAGAGTGAATTCCAGAGT